GAACAATGCGAGAACGGAAAACCCGAAATCGACTCGGTGAGAAAGGCAGTAGCTGTTGATAGCAATGGTCATGGTGTATTCATCAACTGAAACCCCAATTCTACACACGTCTTTGAAAAGGCGTATGGCCACAGGATACTGTTTCAGATTGACAACCCTCGACAGCAATTGATTGAATTGGTTTACAGAGGGCAGAGGCCTCGTTTCCGCCATGGTTTCGTACAAGCTAAGAGCATCATCCAATCCATTAATGTTTCCCAATTCAAGCTTCAATTTTTCACGGGAATTGCAATTTGCAACAGATTTCGTACCCAAACAACGAAAGACGGAGAGAAAATGGAGTGGGCTTCGACAATTGACAATAAAATTAACTGAACCATAGATGTTGGGAGAAGAAATCAAAAAATTCGCCGCCAAATTGAAGCCCTTTTGGCTCATCTTACACAAAGAATACACCATTGACAGAAGTACAGTGAGAATGAGTTTATTTACTTCTCCGAATTATTTCAATTTTTCATTACATGTTTATAATAAATCATCGAATTTGTAAATTATGCCCACTATAAGATTAAATTACGAAAAAAAATATTTATATTTGCGTTATTGAAGTCACTCATATACTATGAATTTTCTTACACGTTCACTCTTAAAGTATCAAATTCAACTGACTCTTCTATCCGTGAAATGGTCTCTTATTCGTTTTGTACATAGATGCAAATTCTGATGCACCACAGTATGATATTTTCAAGCCAACAGACACGTCTTATGATTATCTTATTTCAAAATGTAGAGCTTGAATGCAGTAAAACGGATACCAACTCGAGAATATTTCACTTAATCTAAAATATTCCACTAAATTTGACGCTGCAATAAGAAAATTCATAGTTAAGAGAGTAACTGTAATCACCCAAATAAAAAAGTTTTTTCATAATTTGACCTTACTTTGACCATAATTACTCTTCTAACAAATAACCGTGGAAGTTTTTTTTCTTTTAAAGAAAACCGGTAATTCGTTATTAATAAAAAATTAGAATCATATGGACCAAAAGTTACGCTTAATAGGCCCAAAGGCCAAATCGAAGCCCAAAGGCCCAATCAAACGCTAACCAAATTGAAAATTATTTTGTTAAATTTAGAAAGAGAAAAGAAAAGAAAAAATTGGATTATCTGATTTAATAATCAACAATAACAATTATATTAAAAATTACACATGTTAAAGCATTTAAACTGGACTAATATCTAAAAAATTAATAATATAACAAAAATAAGATATTTGCATTTATATCTATCCCGATGAGATGGCACTTAAAGAAATTACAACTGTTTTTCAAATGAGCTTTTATTGACTGCTCCAATATCGTAATTAAGGATGACAATGGGGCGAGTATGAAATGATTATTACATAATCCATCGCCGCACAATTTACAAAATCCGTCTTAATCTACCCGTTTCGAGTACAAATTTATAAAATCTCCCGCTATGTCGTCTAACTTTTTACGAGTACCCATTACCCAAACTCTTTAGAAACACCCGTAAAAGTTATTATTTATAAAAATTAATTCTTTGATTTTCGAGAAACAGTATTTTTATAAATATAATTTATCATTCTATATTACATACTAACTTGGATATAACCCGTTTCGAACCCGTTTAAGTGCAATTTTTTGAAATGGGGTGATATTACCCGTCAAAATCCAATGCGTGACACGACCATTACGTGTCCCCTAATCGCAATACAGAGATTTATGTAATAAATATTAATATCAAGTATATATTATCGTAATAAAAAAGTCCGGATACGCAATAAAAGAAATTGCATCGCGCCGAAAAACAGTAAATAAAAATCATCTTTTCCAACGAGTAAACCAAGTCAACGGATTCGAAGATTTTATCAACCTTGAATGTATATTTAATAAATCATACTGATAATATCACGGTAAATCTAGTTTTGTGCAAAAGTGTACATATCGACGTATATATATAGGGGCAATAAAATGAGAACAAAAATATAATATAGATACAAAAAATTGGAGATTTTTTTTTGTTATAATTTGAAAGAGCAAGTCTTTTCTATAAATTTATAAATATTTTTTAAGAAACAAGACCATGTCGAAAACAACCTAAAATTGATACACGAAATAGGTACAATTTTTTAAAAATTTTTGTAGTGTTTCTCTATTTATTATTTATATATTTTGCAGTGTATTGAATTTTCGAATTCTGTATCGATAAAATTCTGGATTCGCCACTGATTATCGTCATGCACGAAATTCCTACCTGCCTAACCATGCACATTTCCTTTTGTGTGTATATAAGGGAACTTTACTGTCCTATTCTTTGTTTAATTGCTTAGTATCTCTCTCTCTCTCTCTCTCCTCTCTCTCTCTTTCTCTCTCTCTCTAAAATTTTTCACAGTTATAACGAAGGCGGACTTGTCTCTCCGGCATTGACTCGTTCTGAAGCTCCTCACTCACGTTTGTGTGTATATACAACGGATGTACGTAGAGATCGGTGAGCTTATTTATCACTTAATTAAATTCTCTAATTCACTTTTTTTTTTTTTTTTTTTCCTTTTTCATTAAATTTATGCGTTTTTTTTTTCCTCGATTGATTTTAACTGAATTTGACATGCTTTTGTTTTGGGTGTAAAGAACCCATATCTCTTATGTGATTGCTTTTTTATTCACACGGGAGAGAGAGAATCTCCAATTCAAGATTTGTGGGTTTTAATTCACCTGGATACATCAAAAAAAATAAAAATAAAAAATTTTAATTTATATTTGGAATTAAAATCGTTCAATTCATTTCTGATTCGGCGAATCTTCCATTTCCAGCCTCTGTGCAGTTCTTTTGGAAGGTACATTTGCCGATAAGTAAAGTCAGATAGCTGGGTTTTGCAGAAATTTACGAATTTGACATCTGCAGAGATCACTGATTGTTGACAACGGTCTGTTATTATTTTTGGAATTGAATTTCTGGGCATTAATTCTGTGGATTTTCAGCCTTGTTTTTTCTGATTTTCAGTCACGTGTAGCATCTGGTGAATTCAGTTTTAGGACAGTGGTAATTAAGGTTGTTTTGGATCAATACAGTGATTTTGGTTCACAAATACACACAGTACATCTAAAGAAAAGTGGAAAAAAAAAATAAAGATTGAATTTTTATTTCACTGGTCCTTAGGAAGATGAACCTGGGGAGGGGGTTTCACGATCCCCGGGAAAAGGGTGTTATGCAAAATGGAGGTAATTGGGTTCCGTCCACACCAGACAAACCAATTGTTCTGCAGAGGTCGAATAATGTCGAATCTGAAACCCCACGAAATCAAATGGGCGAAGAAAATTGGATGGATTTGCTGGGGATTTACAGTGATGTTTTACAGAACGAGGTATCGAAAGCACTGCCAAACGAGGTATCGAATGCACTGCCAAACGAGTTCGATTTACGCAGCCCAAATAACGTTCAAGGTGTTGCTCCAGTTGAGACTTATAACAGGCTGCAGCGGAGTAATCAAGACTTTGCTCCTCCTGAAGTCTATAATCGTCCGCCTCACAGTTTTGGGGGTGCAGGGGTGAATCGTGTGGACCATCGTCACAACTTTGAAGATGTTAGCGCAATGAACAAGTTCGGAAGCTCGAACCAGAATCCGGGTGAAGTTGTACTACCTCAAAAGGTGCATTCTTTAGCGGAATTGATGGGTATGAGGAGAGCACCATGTGCCCCTACGTCATATGGGGCACTAAACGGGAGCAATTATGTCGTGGGGAATCACGTGAATTATGCGGTTGGTGGTGCGAATCTCCAACAGAATCCCGCTCTGCATGCAAGGTGTAACGGTGGTGGTTACAACCTACAAGAAATGCCAAACGGTGAGTTTACTATATCCGCCAAAATAATTTATTTATTATTTTTTAACACTTGTTTTATGCGAATTAATTTACGTAAATGTGCACAAGAGGATTAACTTGCAAAGAGTCTACTTTACCACCAATATTAACTGTGATGTCATGAGATGTATTGTAATAAGTAAATTATACTGTGTCACTTGAGCAATATGTATTATGTGGCTAAATGACAAGGCAAACATTTCTAAGTCTATATGTATCTAAAAGAATACTCTTTTTCGAAGTCCGTGATTTGGTGCTCGTTTATTCACCCTTGCTGCTTGGTTACAGATGCATGTCCCTTATTTTGAGTATTCCAAATAATCTATATAATGTGTTAGTGATGTATACTAATATTCTTCATAAGAACAAGTTTAGAACAATAGCTATAATTGATAATCTTAACGCTCTGCATTCTTGTAGTAGGTCGACTTTCAGTGCCGAACCTAAACTTACCAGCAAGTTCAGAAATTGGAGAATCGTCAAGTGCCTTAAGGCCGTTCCTGTTAGAGCCAGTAACGCCGGACCAGCAGAAACAGTCGAAAAATTGCCAGGTCATTCAAGTACCAGATTTGTCGATTGGCGAAACCTCAATCCAAAACAAACAACATAAGCAGGATAAAGTTATCTTGTCTCCACAACCTGAAATAATCGAAATAGAGGATAATGAAATTTTGGTCAACAACACTGTCGTGGGTTCATCAACTGCAGCGACTCAGAACTTGCAAGAGGAAAATACAATTATTCAAGGTGGAGATGGAGGAATTGATCAGAACAAGACACCACAGCAGAAAACACCCAAGAGAAGGAAACACCGTCCAAAGGTCATAAAAGAAAAGAAGAAAACCAAAAAGACTCCAAAGCCTGAGGTTGCAAAAACCGCCGCCACTCCTGATGGAAATACTGCGGCAAAAAGGAAGTATGTGCGCAAGAGTGTCACTAAACCCTCAACAGATCAACTGAGTGATGCGGGAAATATCGCTCAAGCGTCGAATCTGGAGCCACCTGCAGAAAAATCATGCAAGAGAAAATTAAATTTTGACTTGGGTAATGGAACAGAAAACGAAAATCAGCAGGTACATAATAATGAAGGGAATAAGCGGCCTTTTAATTTAAATTTGGATTCCCAAGAAGCAGAATGGTCAACAGAATTGAACGGGCCACCGATGCTTGTGGTGAATGAAGGACAGCAAAATACCTTTGACAGAGAGAGACAGCAGACACAGCCTGCATACAATTCTGTCCACTCGGCGAATAATATCTCTCTTCAAGGGTCAACTCAGATGGCAAATACATCCCCGATGCCTACATCTAAAAACCATTTGAATGTCCTTGCTAGGAATTTCAACGTGCGAATGACTAATACACACCCAAATATCGACGGGTACAACAATCAGGTGCATCATCAGATGTCTGGAGGCGGCCCTGCTCAGCTTGTCATTCGACCAGACTTTGACGATAGAAGACAATCAGCAGTTCATTCAATGCCGCAAATTCTGGAAAATCCGGTAGATGTCACTGAGAAACAAGGATCAAGAAACTCGCATGCTATCACACTGATGGGTTCTCAACTAAGGTTGAACGGAGTCTCTGAGAGAGGTTATCGCAACTGTGAAACCAGCAACTCCTTGCAAAATGGTCTAATGCACCAGAAAAAGAAGGTTGAGAGTACATTTCATGGGACCTCATCCAGCACGCCTTCTGGCATTTCCATTGAAGACGTCTGGGGACCAACTGAAAGCCGAGGGAATATGACTTCCCCTGCACAAATCTCCAGAATGCACCAGAATGGTGGGTTAACAAATGCTGATCATAGAGGACAGATCGTATCAAGAAACACAAATAATGATAGATCTAACATGCTCGCTTATCATTACTACATGAATATGATGCACATGCTTCAACGGCAGCAGCAGCATGCTTTGTCTCAAGAGCGTTTACGTTCAGAGCAAATAGCACCACAGACATCCCATTACTCTGCTAACAAGCAAATCACCAACTCTGTCACAGCAATGACTAACTGGAATCCCAAATCTACATCTGAAAGAGACCCGAAACCCATTCCGATGAATGGAACTATAACTACTCCCGATCGTGTTGCGGCCAAAAGACCGCCAGCTGGACAAACGTCGTCGAAAAAAATTCTTCAACAAGAGTCCAAGAAGTCCAGAAGCAAAGGCTATTCCTCCAAGAAATTCGCAGGTTAACATTAGCAAGTTATTCTTGTCAACATAATGCTGAATATGCTTGATAAAAAATTAAAGTTGTCTTTTTTTCTTTCTGTGTGCAGGACCAGTACAAGAAAAGGAGAGACGTGTATTTTCCATAAATGATATCACAGACCTTATGCAAGACCTGAGCATCAATAACAATGGCAAGAAAATAGTTCGGAAAGAACAAAATGCACTTGTGCCATACAGAGGGAGTGGTACTGTTGTTCCATACGTGGAATTTGATGTAGTCAAAAGGCGGAAGCCTCGGCCTAGAGTGGACCTTGATCCAGAAACAAATAGGCTGTGGAACCTCTTAATGGGTAAGGAAGGAGATGAAACTGCTGAAACAGTGGACAATAATAAAGAAAAATGGTGGGAGGAAGAAAGAAAAATGTTCCGGGGTCGTGTGGACTCGTTCATCGCACGTATGCATCTAGTCCAAGGTATTAGCTCCTGAATACTGACATCTTTACTATTTTTGATATATAATCACATACCATAAAATGTTAAACGATACAAACTTACTGTTTTTTTTCCTTCATGGCAACTACGTCTAGAAAGATATTATCCAAAAAACACTATGAATCCAAAATAAAGGAAAAAAAAGCATTTTTTATTTTCCTTGCTGTATATACTTTGTCAGATTTCACATTAGAAACAAACCAAATGCTTTCAATATAAGTATTAGTGAACTAGTTTTAATTACCTAAATCTTTGTGTGCTAGAAAGAAAAAAAATAATAATAACTATTCAGGGTGGAGAATGAAGCTAGAGTTAGTCCACCGATGATTCCTACAACATTTAGGATAACAATCAGATTTATTTACCTGGCACATTCAACTTTGGGATGTAACACCTGAAACAACATTACATCTTTGCAGGGGACAGGCGATTCTCTAAGTGGAAAGGATCTGTTGTTGATTCAGTGATAGGTGTGTTTCTCACACAAAATGTTTCAGATCATCTTTCAAGGTAAAATTGATTTCCTCGGCACAAGAATAAGAACCGTGCAATGTAAAAGAAGCTAATCACATTCTATAACTTCTCCCTTCTACTTGCAGCTCTGCTTTCATGTCTCTTGCAGCTAAGTTCCCTCTCAAATCAACATCTACTGGGCAAACATTCTGCGGAAATGGAGAAAGACCGGTTAAACACCATGAGGTCCGCGTAACACATCCAGATGAAACAACTTGTGATAACAACATAGTAAGGGAACCCGTGTGCAATAGCTCCGTGACATCCATTGAATCATCTGAGTACAGGGCAGAAAATGACATGAAAGGAAAAGGAGCTTTCTCAATGAATGACCAAACCAGGAGAACCGAAGAAGACATAATTTCTTCACAAAGTTCTTCGGAATCTTTTGTTTTTCAAGCCTGTGAAGATTTCAGATCCAGCTCAGGGTCAAATTCAGAAGCTGAAGAAGGGTTAAATTTCAACAAAAACCTCAGTCATGTAAGTGTTACAGAACAGGCTGAAAGAATTTCTGCATTGCAGCAAGACCAGTTTCAAATCATGGGAAGTTTATTTCCAAATAAGAGACCCTTTATTGGTAATCGGCCATTAGAAAACACCACATACAGTCAAAATCCAGGACCTGTCAGAGGCAAGAACGCGTATTACAATCCACTCACTTCAACAGTCCCTTCCAATAATTCAGGACCAAATAGGTCGATGGGCCTGGAAAAATGGGAAGCAGATGTTCTTGGATTATCGGGAAAAGAGACCATGTCTTCTCTGGCTTCAACAGATTTTGAGATCCCCAATAGAACAGGTGTGGAGTGCGGACATAATTACATAGGACAGAGTGCAACAAATTCTCTTACGTCCATACAAAATGGAAGACCAGAATTTCAGCCGGCAGTTAATCATTCAATTCCAAACAAACACTTTGAATTCCGAACTGATTTTTCAAATGGGTCTCAAAACGGATATGGCCAACAACCAATCAAGAATATGCGAGGGAAGCAGGACAGCTTTCAGCAGGAGAGCACATCTCAGACGAACCCCACAAGACCGGCTGAAAGTAAACAGCCTAATGGTAATATAATAGAAATATTTTCTAATCACTGCATATACAGGATAAAATTTGAGTATAATTTGAATGTTATTGCAGATAATTGGAAGCACGGTGATCATACAACACTTGAACCCAATGAAATTAGACAAGTACGTTCTTCCGACGAACCATCCAGTAAGATCAGCACCACAACTCCAAATGCAAAAAAGAGAAAATCCGAGAAAGAAAAGCCAGAACCATTTAACTGGGATAGCTTGAGAAAGGGGGTGCTATTGAAGAATGGAACAAGAGAAAAAAGCAGGGATGCAATGGACTCTTTAGACTATGAAGCATTACGAACTGCTGATGTTAAGCAGATTTCTGATGCGATTAAAGAAAGGGGAATGAATAACATGCTAGCAGAGCGAATGAAGGTATGTAGCATTTAATGAATGACTCCTTAGAGTACCCTATTACCTCAAAGACACCTAGAGAACCGAAGTATTTTGTTGGATATGTGCAGGCTTTTCTTAATCGTCTGGTTGAAGATCATGAAAGAGTCGATCTAGAATGGCTGAGAGATGTTCAACCAGATAAAGCCAAGTAAGCCCCTTGTTCAAGTTAATCCATTCTTTCATTTTATGAAAAGCATGTAGCAGAAGGCATGACAATAATCCTAGTATCTCTGCCACATGATAATATGTCAAAATCTAAAACCACATTCTTCACTTTTTATAACAAAATGCCTTGCAGGGACTATCTATTGAGCGTACGAGGTCTAGGGCTAAAAAGTGTGGAGTGTGTACGTCTTTTAACTCTTCATCATCTCGCTTTCCCGGTAAGCAAATCTGCACGTAAACCTCAAGTTTATATATATATATATATATATATATCTCATAAGAGAAAAATAAAACCTACACTGATTATTCCGCTTCGTAGGTTGACACAAATGTTGGACGCATTGCTGTTCGACTTGGTTGGGTTCCTCTACAACCTCTTCCTGAGTCACTCCAGTTGCATCTCCTTGAACTGTAAGTATATGTTAAGCAATAACAATAATGTTTGCGAACTATTGCCTACACTAATTTTGTTTCCTTGCAGTTATCCAGTGCTGGAATCAATCCAGAAATATCTTTGGCCAAGACTCTGCAAGCTGGATCAGGAAACATTGTAATTTAACTTTACTAGAATTACCTATCTCAATTTACAAGAACTATTTGCCTAGCTTTGGCAAGCCCACAATGTCGACTAATTATGTATTATGGCACTACAGGTATGAGCTACACTACCAAATGATAACTTTTGGAAAGGTACGTCGTCTCCTCTGATAGTTTACTAACAGCCACTAGCAACCATTATGTACACTAACCACATGAAAAGAGTTCCTCAAAGGATTGGTTTCTGTATATTGGGATACAGGTTTTTTGCACAAAGAGAGAACCAAACTGCAATGCTTGTCCAATGAGAGCAGAATGCCGACATTTTGCTAGTGCTTTTGCAAGGTTAGTTTGTGCTATCTCTCTATACGAGTCTATAAAATGACATGAAAGGCTAGAACGCTCTAAGACTACAATACATTGACATACCCGATGTGTTTCGTGCAGTGCAAGACTTGCTCTTCCAGGGCTAGAAGAGAAACAGATAGTCAGTTCAGCTACACCAGTTTATACTAATAAGAGCTCTAATGTGACAATAAAGCCTATGCAGCTACTTACATGTGAAGATAACGTAGAGAGCGGAATGGGGTCGACAAGAAACTGCGAACCATTTATTGAGGAACCGACATCCCCAGAGCCGCCCATGGAAGTGTCAGATAGAGATATCGAGGATGCATTTTATGAGGACCCTGATGAGATCCCTGTCATAAAGCTCAACGTAGAAGAATTCACTACAAACTTGCAGAGCTTTATGCAAGAGCAGATGGAAATGGGAGAAAGTGATATGTCAAAAGCCCTAGTTGCTTTGAATCCAGAACTTGCTTCTATACCAATACCCAAACTAAAGCACATCAGTCGACTCCGGACAGAGCACCAAGTGTAAGTTTATAACTCTATACTATGAATTAGAAGTGGATAGATACATTAAGACTAAAATATAAGTAGAAGCTATGAGTGACAAATGACTTCTATGTTGCAGCTATGAACTCCCAGATTCACATCCATTACTGAAAGCGGTTAGTTCTTTCTCATTTCTAGTTTTAACTTTAACAAATCTGTTTATATACAATTTGATTTTCACTGACCAAAAAAATTTAAATATACAGATGGACAGACGAGAAGCTGATGATCCAAGTCCATACCTTCTGGCTATATGGACTCCAGGTAGGTTATATTGTCTAAAATCACTTCATAACTCAAATAGGAGTGTCACCAAAATGAGAGTGGGTGGGTGTTTATTGACTTCTAAATCTCATAAAAGTAACCTAATGATAACTCCCGTCCCCTCCTCTCATCTTTTCCCCACTACCACATGCGCATAAAAATAAATATTCCTGGCGAATACAAAATCATAGAATTATACTGAATACACAGACCAAGTTATATCGTGCTGAAGTGGACTTCTCATCTATTCTACTGATCATACCCAAATTGACGACATCTTAATAGGTGAGACTGCAGATTCAGTTCAACCTCCAGAAGGTAAATGTAGCTACCAGGAAAGTGGTGTGTGCAAAAATCCAACATGTTTTCCATGCAGCAGCACGAGAGAGGCAGAGTCTCAAACTGTCAGAGGCACAATTTTGGTGAGAGAAAAAGGGATATACTTATCAGTAATAGTGGCAAAATTGGACATTCAAGTAGCTTTATTTTTCTTTATCCTTTTGTTGTCTTTATTGAAACATCTACTTCCTTGTAGATACCTTGCAGAACAGCAATGAGAGGTAGCTTCCCCCTCAATGGCACATATTTCCAGGTCAATGAGGTAATAAGGCTCTTATTCTCTAGAGGTTTATTTATAGCACTGCCAACTGGAGATTTCTGCAATGGAAAATGATATTAAAAAACGAAGACCTCAATTTGATAACCAGCATAAGAATAATTTTGGTGTATATTCATTGAATCATTAAATGTGTTCAACGGTGTGGGAGAGGGATGTAACGCATTTTAACTCTGATGCAGGTATTTGCGGATCACGAATCCAGTTTGGAGCCTATCGATGTCCCAAGAAGGTTGCTATGGAACCTGCCAAGGAGGACAGTTTTCTTTGGGACATCTGTAACATCAATTTTCAAAGGTAAAAGAAAAATATATTCATTAGTTTATCGATGATTTATAAAAAGAAACTGACAGGAAATTGATGCTTGCCAGGCCTGTCAACTGAAGGAATCCAGTACTGCTTCTGGAGAGGTATCAACTCTCCACATTTATTCTAATTGGTTAACTTTGCTTCAGTGGTGCAACTCTTGCACGTTTATATCTACTTAAGACGCAATTTCCACACAATTGTAATTTCAAATATGCATTGCAGGATTTGTCTGCGTTAGAGGATTTGACCAGAAACATCGAGCACCAAGACCCCTAAAGGCCAGGTTACATCTTCCTGCCAGTAAGATGATGCCAAAGAAAAATGAGTGAAAATAAGTTATATATCAGATAAAGTTGCAAAGTCAAATAACCAGAATCCGCTTCCTCCAAGAAGAAACGAAACTGCAGAAGTAGGATAACCATAGGCAGCTAACAATTTTTTTACATTCATTTGTCCTCTTCCCTTGAGTTGGTAGTTAACATGTTCTTCCCCCAGTTGTATGTACATTGGCGTATGACCAATAAGTTATTTTCTGCTGCTCAAAGTACAGGTTCCAGAAAGGGGCTGCATGTACATCATAAACAGTTACATTTTTCCATAGTTCCATTTTTTTCATAGTTATATTTTTAACAATTCATACTCACCATGTGAGCCATTTTTCTATACAATTTTTAGTAGGGAAGGTTAAATTAAAGAACGTAATTCACAGCTGTGTCGTCTATATATCTATCTCAGAAATCCGTCTTTGAAAGAAGCATTGATTTCTTCGTAGACATAAATATTAATAGGACCAATTTAAAGCCTAATATGCAGACTATATATCACCCTGTATTACACATACCAGGGGCGTATATTCTTCACTGTAAACCCATCACATACACCCCTGGATTTAGATTTCACCATAAAAATTTATGCAGGGAAATTCGTAGAGAAGTTTGGTAGAAGAACAACTACAATCAGCACTAGCAGTAGAGCATATAGCAAGATAGTGCATCAAATTGGTTGAACAAACAGAAGTTAGAATTTAAATTGAGCTTGAAGCAATAGAATAGTATAATAGTCTACCACGATGAACTGGTGAGATAACTCCACATGCTTCTGCCAGTGAGATCAATTCTTCTCGTTTTTCTGATCACTACCATTAACGAGTCATCTTCCTGCCGCAATGGAACAGGTAACAGAAGCTTTTCAGATAGAAATCGGATCGACTCAGCATAGCGTTTAATCACTTTTGCAATGCAATCCTGTAATAATCAACTGGAACTTCTACCATGAATAAGATTTCTTTAAACTACTGAAAGAACGAAAAGGAAAACGCATACTTATTTAGAAAGAGCACCTCCTAGTATGAAGACTCTTTCGTAATCAATAAACACATACGAGTAAGTAACAACATTTTCACAGATCCAACAGCTATAGAAATTAAAAAAATATATATTGTAGCATCCACAGAAAACAGAAACCCTAGCTGCGAGCTTGTTCTAAATCGTTCATCCAATGTTCCCATCCCATGTCTCAGTCATACGTTTTCTTACAATATGCATATCCACACATTGATCCTAAATAAAATGCGGAAACGAAATAACCAAAATTTATGAAATCCTATAACACAATTGCAATACCTTCAATTCTAGAAAGAACAGCAGAAAAACCAAATCAAATTACCAAATAAATAAATATTCAAACATACTGGATCGAGCAAAACCCCCGAAACTAACAAATTCTTATATTATGCGTGAATACATATTAAAATAGATCAAACTCACTGTTTCTCAGGGTGTAGTTCGCAGATCTATCCCGCTCGAACAATATAATAGGGAGAGATAAAGTCGCGGTCGAGTGAAATTGTATGCTTCTGCGATGTTTACAGATGAGAAATTGGGAGGCTGGAGAGAGAAAGCGGGGAGGGAGAGAGGTGAGTGGAAGTTTTGCCGCCTTTTGTTTGAGTTTTGCCGCTCGGGTTTCCCAACTCGAAATCTGTAAATAATAATACTTCCCATCCCGTATTTAACTTTAATTACATTTTTCTTAAAAAAAATGTTTTATTAAGGGGTATACCGTATACTTTGAACAAAATTGTTTTGTTTAATTAAATAATAATCGAACCTTCAAAATAAGGTTTTGTTTTAATTAAATAATCGAACTTTCAAAATAAGGTTTTCTTTAATTAAATAATTGAAGGTTCTAAACGTTGTAAAATTAACCCCCTTGTGGTTTGAACATTTTGCACATGACCTCCTTATGATATGAAATTAAGCACATAACCCCCTTGTGGTTTTGACATTTTGCACATGACCCCCTTATAGTATGAAATTAGCACATAACCCCCTTGAATAGAAAACTGGAAAAGATTAAATTACCCCTAAAGTTTATTCAATTTTAAGAATCAATTTAAAAATCTTTAATATTATCATTAATTATGATTATTATATTACTATTTTCTATATAATATATTATATTATATTATAGCTGTTATCGAACTTTAATTTTTTTAAGAAACAAAGTCTTTATTTTGTTTTTATTCTTTTGGAAAAATCTAAAAAAAATATTTCTCCAAAGTTGAAATGAAAATTAAATTAAAAAAAATATGTGCTGTAAAATTAAAAAAACACAATAAAATATTATATTTCTTATTTTACAAAAAAATACATTAAACTTTTTCATTTTATAGAATAATTATTTTTAAATTAAAACAATTGATAGGGGTAATTTAGTCTTTTCCATTTTCCTATTCAAGGGGGTTATGTGCTAATTTCATACCATCAGGGGTCATGTGCAAAATGTGTAAACCTCAAGGGGGGGTCATGTGCAAAATGTGTAAACCTCAAGGGGGTTATGTGCCTAATTTCATACCATAAGAGGGTCATGTGCAAAATGTCAAAACAACAAGGGGATTATGTGCCTAATTTCATACCACAAGGGGGTCATGTGCAAAATGTTCAAACCACAAGGGGGTTAAGTGCAATTAAATCCGAACGACCACAGTGGGAGTCGAACCCACGACCTTTTGATCCGAAGTCAAACGCGCTAATCCACTGCGCTATGCGGTCATAATG